AAAAAAGTCATTTTATACTAAACAGTGTTTGAAAAACTCTAAAGATTGTATATATTTTCGAAATATGTTTGATTGTACAATTGTTTTAACTAAATTTCATGTTATATTTTGAAAATAACGAAATTTTCTTCATTGATTACTTGTTTTTGAAAAGATGTTCTAGATCTGTTTCTTATGACCAGACATAGAAGCCATTATGTATGCAGTTGTATCTCTTTATTTACAATAGAAATAACGCTGGATAATTATTGTTTATACATCCATAAATATAGATTATAATCAAAAACTTACAAATTCTGACGAATGAACATTTAGTGATAACTCGAATTAAAAAAAAAAAAATTTTAACGTAGCTCTTCATAACTTTGGAAGAACATTGCAAAAACAATGAAAGAAAAAATCTATGCAACAAGTAGATGTCATGCATTGAATCATAGGATGCAACCTATAAAAAGTTTTATTTTCAGCTATTTTAAATTGAAGACAAAAATTTTTTTGTAGAGAATCAAATGCTCTATTTTCTGACAGAAAACTTAGAATAATTCATTATTTTTATCAACTCAGATATTTGTGAAAAAAGAAGTGTCGCAAGATATTTGTCACACTTAGTTGATAGAGTTGACAGCTTACAGCGTTCAAGATAATTTTTATAAATCCTATTTTTCTGTGTTTTTTTTTTTAATATTTATACTTTTAGTTTTAAAACTTAAAGTCATTCAACATTTGAAATTCATTACGAATTTAATTTAAAAATTTAACGTTTTGCAAAGCTAGATGATGAATAATTCTACACAAACTCCATCTAAAATCATTAGATCAAATGAATTAAACAACTCGTGAAAATTTCTGTTCATTGGAATCAATCTCTATAGATAATTGTTTGTTTCCGTAGAACTAAGCTGTCCTAAAAGTTTTTATTCTATTGCTGTAAGGAAGAAACATTTCTCATGCGATTCGAATCGGACTGAAAACTGCCAGTAGGCATTCAGTATAATGTATATTATACCAGCAATTAACTGATGGGACTTCGATACTTTAATGGTTGACTATCTTCTGATCGCCATGTGATCGCGGTATACCAATAGTTGTTCTCTAAACGGTCCTCTAATATCGACAGTAGTGCAACATGAGCTCTTTCAGACAGTTTAGGTTCCCATAAAAAAAAAATTTTTTTCTACAATTTTTTTAGATTGAAATTATTACATTCTTAGTAGTGAATAACTCAACACATTTCCCAAATATCGAAGATCTACGTTCTGATGATTAAGAAATGTATGGCTAGATTATTTTTAATGGTACATCTAGCTTCATAAAGATATATATAATCTGAAAATTTCTACATTATTGATTCTACAATGTTTATATAAACAGGGTTATTTTGCTTGAAGAATTTCTTTCATAACGTTTTCTAATCATGAATAAAATATCTCTAAAATCTAAATTCTATGATAAAATCGAATTGTAATTTCAACTAAAATAATAATAATGAAAAGAAAAAAAAAAGAATTCTTTATTGAAATTAAAATTTTCTTTCAATAACAAAAAATTGATTATTAAAAGCAAGAAATTGTTTTAAAAAAGGATTAATTGGTAAATTTTGTATATCATTTGGATAATGCATTAAACATTTAAATAATTTTATTCGACATATTGATTTTAATGAAGAATTTTTTTCTTTCGATTGTTTAATAAATATTTTAACAGGTTCTTTCCAATACATCCAAACATGACGAAATATATGTTCAAAATGAAAATTTTTTACATTTACATCTGGATTATTATAAATACATTCAAATAAATGAAAAAATTTTCCATATAACATACGAATAATTGATTGTAACATTTCATGTTGTTTTATTTTAATTGTTTGATCTTTTTCTGAACAAGCATTTTCTGCTAAACGATTTTGTATTTCAACTTGTACAGTTCCTAATGCACATATTAATTCAGTAAGAATTTCGCTAGCTTGTATACTTATTTTAAATTGATCATAATTATGTATTAATGTTGATAAACGATTTTTATATAAAATACAACAAATATTAACATGATGATCAACATAAGATAATTTTTGTTCAAATATTAATTGAGGTAATATTGAACGTATATAACGTAATGGTAATTTTGTTAATTGTCCACCACGATTAATTATTGTTTGAAGAAAATAAATATTTGAAAAAAAATCTTTATTATTTAATAAATAATCAAGACGTAAATTATCTGTATAATGTTGTATATGTGTTGGTTTTAATTTTTTTAATGAACATAAACATTCAAGCCAATAATCAAGAGGTGTATGTAATTCAGAATTTTCCATTTGTAAAATATGTTTATTTGTATATGGAAGAAGAATTTCACATAGAGATAAATTAAAATGACGACATGCATGATGTAATGAACTATAATTATTTAAATCAATTTTATTTATATCTAAACATGATAAATGATGTGTTAAAAGATATTTTATTATATCAATGGGACCATTTTTATGTGCAAGCATTAAAAGACAATGACGACCTTGATCATTTATATTATTTATATCTAATTTACTTAATAATAATTGATGTTCAAGTAAATATTTTGTACAATCAAAACGATCTTGTTCTATTGAGCGTAATAATAACGATTTATGACAATATATACTATCATTATCATCAAATGAATGCATATAATATTCTATTTCACTACAAAACCAATCAAGAAATCCTTCATGTTCATCAGTTTTTTCTAACTGAATTAAACGATTTAATATATGAGTTAATTCTGTATTTATACGTTCGTATATTAAATCTTTTAATATTGTTATCGAACGAATTTTTTCAAGTGTTACTGGTATATAAAATTTCCAATTATTTTCATATAATCTAATCAAATCATAAAATAAATATAAATATTTATATAGAATTATGAACCTTACCTACTTGTTGGTAATAGTTAGTTCGATATCTTCCTCGTGAATACATATTGTTTGTAATGAAGATTCATCTAAATTTATTACTGAAAATAATTTAAGAAAACAAGAGAATATCTTTAATTATTTACTTGTTGTTATTATTTGAGAAGAACATCGCGATATCGGATTCATATCAACTATTGATTCTTGAGAAATAATATCAAGATTATCAATAGATGTTTCTTAAATAAGTATCATAGAAAAACAAAATTTATAATAATGATAATCATTTTTTTTTTTGTAATACTTTATTTCGATCACTAGTCTTACTTATTTCTAATTTATTGAATGGAACAACATTAATCATTGATATTGGTCGAATTGAAGTTCGTTGTTCTTCACAATATTGATTTATTCCAGCATAACTTACAGGTCTTGATGGATTGTTTATTCCACGTGATGAAATGTTTAATATTCTTCTAAAGCTTGATCTTCTCTTATAGTTTTCTTTTCTACCATCTTGTTTACCGTTGTTGCTTCCCATGTGATAATTAAATATGAATCCGTGTCTCTCTTGTTTGCTTAACGTCTGTCAGCAAGAGATTACAATTAATAATATTCACCTGCTTTTTCTACTTTTTTTATTTCATGAACAAGCGTGTAATATGTTAGATATCCTTGATAATTTGTTGTTATTCGTATATGAAACATTATATAATTTGATCAGAAAAAGCATAACTATTACACGTAATACGGCTGAATGATTCCTCTTTGTCGAAAAGGTCGAAAAAAGTTATTGAAAAAAGAAACACGTCCAGACTAAAGCAAAAATATTCGTAACCTTGATAGTAAAAGAAAACCATGAACATAAAAAAACAAATAAAAACACAAATTCATGTAATATTACTTAATTAGCTTGCATCTTATGCAGACTCCTATCTAATAAAGGTAAAACATTTACATATTCGAGAGGGAAAAAAAAAAAGAGAACCAGAAAACGACACGAGCAATCATCAAGGATATTTCAGCTATCATATGATTGAATGTTGACCCTGTCTGTCTGTTTAGTTTTTACTCATAATAAAAATAGACAGAGTATATTTATCATGAATTGATAATTTAATGGTTGGTTATTGTTTCACAAGGATACATTATACGATTATTTATAATAAATAATCAAATTCAAATATTTTATTAAATATATAATTAATTTCATTAAGGATAAAAGAAAATTATTAAATTTTGTTTTATATGTCAAACATACGATTGATACTCATTATTTACTTAGTCTAGTAATAAATGAAATAAAAATCAAACCATTTAGTTATATGAATATACGATAGAAATGCATCTGTTCAATAAAATTATTTCATTTCTATTCTCTATGATATAGTATAAAATCTACATGAGCTTGTTCTCAAATAAAGAAATCATAATTCCTACAAGGCTGGGTTAAAAAAACAGTTCTAATCTAACCTTGATTTATGAGAAAAATATTCAATGGAAAGCAAATTTGAGTTTTATTTTTTTCGAGATATCATACAAGCTGTTTTATTTTTCATAGATAATGTCATCTAGTTAATCAACAAATAATCTGTTCCTTTTTCTATTTTTAGCCTTCGAACTTTTCTACTGAAAGTGTTTTCATTATAAAATGAAACCTTATTTACTAGCAACAGGATTGGAATAGTTAATATTTTATAGATCAATATTTATGTGGAATAATGTCGGAGAAAATAAGTCATGGTCATAATTTTATTAAAAACAAAAAAGAATTGTTTTTCCCTTTGCTGAACTATTTTTATTTAATCTTGAAAATATCACAAAAAAAAAAGAAAATACTTTCTTTGCTGTCATCAAAATGATTTTGTTCAGTAAAGCGTATTTTCTTTCATACACGTTCTTTTTTTCCTACACACTTTTATCCTATCCTGATTCTCATATACGCTGCATTTCATTGCATTCATCACGAGTGTGAGACTAAGCAGAGGACTCTTTTAGTAGAGAAAAAACAAGGTGTGAACAATTAGTATAGTACTTCTTTTCTTGACTTATCATACTTTGATTTATTAAAACAATACTGAACAAAATCGAATAATTGAGAAGTATGGGTAATCAACAACAACATCAAGTAGAAGAAGATTTATCATTAAATGATTATCGTTATTTAATGAAACAAACAAATTTAACACCACATGTTATTCAAGGTTGGTATCGAGAATTTTTAGTTGTATGTCCAAATGGTCAATTAAATAAAAATCAATTTATGAAATTTTATAAAGAATTAGAAAATTCCAAGACAAAAAATGTTGAATCTATTGCTGAAAATGTTTTTCAAGCATTTGATTGTAATGGTTTGTTTTATTTTCAATTTAAGTTTTCATCTAAGAAAATTTTAGTGTAATTTTTTTTCTTTGAAATATTTAGGAAATCATCGAATTGATTTTAAAGAATTTCTCATTGCTTATGCATTAACATCAATTGGTGAACCATCAGATAAATTACAATATACATTTTCATTATTTGATAAAGATCATTCACAAACAATTGAACCAAATGAAATGATTGAATTATTAAAAAAACTTTTTACAATAACAGGAAATAAAATGAAAATATATTCACCAGAATCTGTTGCATATGATATATTTCATGCACTTGATCTTGATCAAAATCATTCATTATCAAAAGAAGAATTTATTAATGGTTGTCTTCATAATGAAGCCATTCGATATTTACTTTCACCATTTGAAAAAGATTATCCGCCAAAGAATTAATGATTACAATATAAATATATTTATAATAAAAATTTTTGTTATTGTCTTGTATTTCTTTTTTTTTTATATGTTGTATTCATGGTTTTTTTTCTTCTTGTAAATGAGAATAATAAAAATCGATATTTTAAAGATTAAAAATAAGAACGGTAACAGAAATATAAAGTATTCGCATTGGAAAATTTATTGGAGATATTACAGTTGCATTCAACTTGTATACAGACTTGATCAAAGTATTCTATCGTCATTGTTCAAAGTCTCATAAGTGTCAGGACGGTTTGGTTCTAGAGTAAGCTCTAAACTTTCTTATAAAATTCGCGTTGGAAGGCTGAAAATGAGAGAAGATCAGATGTTGTACATTCTCTATATGAAATACTGTTAATGCTTCGTTTTTCGAACTCATATTTTACAACATATAACAATGTTGCAAATGAGCAAAACTAACTCACAACTTGTCTTTGAAGAAATCATGCAAAGATTTATACTCTTTAAAACGCGACTTTCGAAAGAAGCTTAATGAGTGAAGCAAAAGTGTTCACAAAAAAAAGATACTACACTTTGAGTTTGTTCACTTAAAAAAATGTTTAATAGGCATGTAATCTCAGTCGCTTCAGGCAAAGAAAATTTTAGGTAGATTCTAGGTAATCAGGCTTAGATTTTCCATATGGTTCATCTTCAATGGTAATGAAAGATCTCTAGTTTAAGTCATTGCTGATGTATGATCCAATATTTACTTATACAAAACTAAACGTTTCATCAAAAATTATTTTCTAAGTTGGTTTGACTAACAAAATATTCTTGTTAGTTATTCAAGACGACAGAAAATATGGACATTTGTACACGAATTGTGATAAACTGGTAAAATCTATTAATCCAATGGAAGAAAAAACCAAGTATGTGAACCTAGTTAATCCTTGTGACTCAGCTGCGTAAATCCAAAATGAAACCAATGTGTGAGTAGTAAAGAAAACATCGATAAATTCATGTGTTATAGTTGAATTATATTTATCTGAGACATAAAGAAAAGCAACAACAAGAAACTTTACGATGAAAAGTCTTAGACAAACAAAGACAAGTTACATACATGAAATTAAATTGAACTTATTTAGGATATATCAGACAGAAGTCTTCAAGGTGAATCAATTTCGATATGTACAATAATAAGTATTTAAAAAGCGTACATTTGACTTTCAGTGCAAATAATCTCTTACGAGGGAAGTTCTCCAACTGTCCAATCGCTTTTGAGTTCGAACTCTGTGCATAAGGTAGATCTCAGTGAGGTATGAAAAACTCCAAAAGGATAACGGCTCTTAGGCCTTCTGTCCAGAGTTATAGGGATTTTACTGGAATTTTAGCCTATGGCATGGTATTTACCAACAAATCGAATGATGATATTTCGGGTTGAGATTTTGCCCATAGACAGGTCTAGTTGTGAGTAGAATTCCCTGAAAATTTCAGCTCAAAAGAATGTTTCCTTCTCGAGATATTAAAGTCCCAAAAACCATTCATATCTCACGAAAGATGTTAGAATTTTCTGTTTTTTTTGGACTTTAATATCTCGAGAAGGAAACATTCTTTTGAGCTGAAATTTTCAGTGAATTCTACTCACNACGAGATGTCTAGCCTCTCTCCATGGCGTTCCTTCATCGAATCGTATTCAATTTACAGAAGACCCAAGAAGCATTTTCCCCTTTGTTTTTATGAAAAATGCCAATGATTTCACCATATTTAACGCCTTCTATAAATTAATGCTTCAAAAGAATGCCAGATAACTAGTTTTGAGGGACCTTGATTTTCCAGACATCCTCATCGAAGTGGTTTTATTGGAATTTTTATGTCTACAAATTTCGATAGAAAATCCTTTCGGCTATTCAGATGTTTTTACAGATTCTTTCTAGAAATTACCATCGAGAAGAAAACTCAAAAATACAACTGCTCTAAACTTATGTCCGCCATTATATTACATCAAAATTTTAACATAGAATATGTCAATTTTTTACCCTACTATCCGGGTCATTTTTTGACTCATTCATAGAAACTATCTATTTGGAGTAATAAAGCATTGAATCGAGTTGGCTTCCAAATATTGTATAGAATTTTTCAATAAGCTACATATTCGCAAAAAAATTAAATTTCTTTTCATCATTCATTGGCTAAGATTTATATGTCGAAAAAAGTGACAAAAGTTTGTTTTTTATCTAGCTACACAGACTGATTACTCTAATGTTTGTCAGGTTGGTATATATTACTATGGATATAATCTATATGCAGAGTAGTTTTCAAATATTTCCTGATTACAGATGTGAAAGCAGTATTATTCATGATAACTTGGCTCATTTTTTTGATTCACTTGTAGTGAGTGATATGAAACTAATAGCCAGTCAAGAAGCATTCTATGGCTGACCGTTTTTATATAACTCCTTATCAATAAAAGATAAAAACCTGTAGCTATTGTTATGTCTTTTCATCTGGACAAAACTTTAACAATAAGAATGAAGGATTTCGAATCGAAATCAGAACCAATGATTCCATATTATAAAAATAAAATGAAGACTAACGATTTCGACACGATCCTGGGAATGAAAGATCTAGTTTTAATCCGAAAAAAAGAGTCATTTGTGCAAGTATCTAACCATATATAAACCCAGAAATGACTCATTTTTCAAAAAATAATTCATGATAAGTAGGCTTCCAGCTTTATAGAGACAAGATAACAAAATCACGGCAAAAAAATGCAAAAATCAAATTAACAATAAATTCAATATTTATATCATTCAAAATGAATGGATTATATATGACCTATTCTGTATCTTCACAATCTAATGACTTCGTTCAAGTTTAATCATACCAATATCATAATCAGCACCTGCATAAGTTATTTCTATGGTTGACTCAACACCAATTCTTCTGAATTCGTGCCAGGGGATAAACGATCAATTAGAATAAGCCTTGGTGCATATGAAGAAAGACGAGACCTTGATCAAACTCTATCAATTTTATGAATATTTATATAATCTCTGTATAATTAGTTCTGCTTAGTCTCATTCAATGCACCTTATAACGAATTATCATTAGGTTTTGATAATGAAGAAAATATCAATTCAACGACATTAAAATTTTGCATGAAATTTATCATGTATGATTAAAATCCTTGTTCTTTANTGCCTCTAATGAATATATGATAATTAGATTTCTTTTCCAGGTTTCGACTATATCATGTGAAAATATTCTGGATTTATTTATTTATTCCTTCAAAAATTTCATTTAGATATCGCTGGCAAAAAGAACATTTGTTAATAATCACGAGAAAAAAAAACATTCTATAATCGCTTTGATAGTGTATCATTTTGATTTTGTTTTCGGGTGCGGGTGCGGGTGTGGATGTCGCTCTTGTCTTAAACCACACTCATACCCTGCAGATCAAATTCCGTCTTGGGACGCCATTGATCTCCTTCGCAGGCGATCAATTCACACAAACATTGCATGAATTCCTTAGCATAGATAGCGTCAATCCAATCAAGTCGTAGTTTACTATAGCCATAGTATACACCTGCCAAGTGGCCATAAATAGTTGCTATTGTATCAGTATCGTCACCAAGATTGACTGCTGATAGAACACCCTTCTCAAACGAATCTGTGCTCCAAAATGTCCACAAAGCAGCTTCGAGAGCATTAACTATATAGCCTTTGCCGCGTATTCCGTCGTCGTATCCTTTTTTCCTCTGAAACGACCCATTGGCAATGTTGTCAATCTCAGGATGTAGTTGTTTCTTGTTCAGCCATTGTTTGATTGTTAAATCATAAAATTTCTTACTCAGTAATATATCTTTCTTTGTATTATTCATCACAGCTATAATAAGAGCTCCATAATAACGACATGCATCGACGGCCTTTGTATCTCCATGAGTAATAAAACCACTGCGTCCCGAGTATTCAACAGCAATTTCCGGAAAACGATTAAAAAACAGAAGAACGGATGCTAAACGCATCAGAGCTCCGTTCCCAGCATTTCCTTGTGCGCTGCAATTAACTTTGAATTCTTCGAGGAGATTATTGTCTGAGAGAAAATTAATTTCTTCTAATGAGATGCTATTCTTCTTGGCAAACTCCTTTTGTCGACTTTCAAACATATGAATCGATATTCTAGTAGATTCACCAATATCGAAGCATTTTCCTGTCGATGATATGTATCCATTTCTGTACCACCATTTGTAGCGAACCAACTGATCATAAAGAACAAAATCACGACGAGCTACCAGAGATATTGCTAAGCACAGAGCCATCGATGTATCATCGTTGAACTGAACATGTGAAATATTACAAGTAATTAATCAAGTGCACTCAAAATTCTCATTTTGTATCGAAAATGTATTCTTTGTTTTAACTTACTTCATAAAGAATTAGCAAGACATAAAGTAGTGGCGCATCTGTTATTTCAGTTAATTCAAAGCTCTGAAAGCGACTAAATGACTATAGGTCATTTTACGATTGGAAGCAGAGATAATGTATAAATAAATATTTCTTACCGTTGATACAGATTGTCTTTTGTCGTGAAAGTGTCCTATTATTATTATTTCTCGGTCATAGGCAGTATCTAGTCACAAAAACTTTTACTTAAGTCTCTTGACACCACTTAGTCGATGTAGAATTGCTAAATTATTATTAAGTATTAAACTTGAAAATGAATGCTTCAGAAATAATTTAAAAAAAAATCAAAATTTTAATCAGTTTTTTATAGCTGATGCATGCGCTCTGAAATTTTATTATGTCGAAAATGTTCGTATTGATAATTTCTTTTAATGATAATATGTCTACGATATATGCCACAGTAAGCAACAAATATAATTTCCCTCTTTATTTCGTCGGTTCAATCACCATATTGTATACTGATAAGTTTTGCTTAAAATTAGAATTCAATTAGTTCATATTTTTTATGTCCATTCTATTCTCACACATATAGATAAAAAATGTAACGCCCTATCGATTGATACCTACAATAAAATTCTTTCGCTGTATTAAAACCTCCAATCCATAATATTTGGACTAAACAGTTAGAATCTATAGAGTTTCAGAATGATATTAGCACTAATATTACTTACGTGCAGTTTTTCGTAGCTGGACAAATGTGTACCATAATCTTTGACTTTGTCCTTCAACGGTTGCTAGGATCTATGCGTGAGAGGGGGGGGGGGGGGGGGGGGGGAGGGGGGGGGGGGGGCGGGGAGAAAGGAAGCGGGATGGGGTTACTAAGGTCTCTCATGGGGGTTGAATGGAGGGTGGGAAAGCCGCAAAAAACTCGATTTACGGTCGGCTTCCGCTCTCAAAAATCGATCTCAACCTAGGTATGTTGAAGTCGTATTAAATTTTCAGAATATGTTTAGACTTTAGTGGAAAAGCTGTGGTAAAATTTTCAGCGCTATACCGTGACGTTTTGACAGAGAAACTCACCAAACAATGAATAACACTAAATTACTATCAAGGCTTTTCATATGCATTTTAAGGTCATGTTTCAGGATACAGGAAAAAGTTCAATTGTTCGAACATGGCATTAGAACTCATCTATAAAAGTATTGGTACTCACTTTTTATTGTTTTATGCTAATATAGTTAGCAATAAATTTGTTTTTTCAAGACCAATACAAAAGTATTAGTAATTCATTTTCAATGTCGATATTAATGATCAAATTTTTGAAGGAGTCTAATGTAATACTCTGCTTAATATTAACGTATCGCCGATAGTTCAATGCTTGATTTTCGGTAAAAAAATTGACAAATAAGTGATAAAAAGAGACAAAAATCATGAGGTTGGCCGATCAATTATGAGTACTCTTTCATAAAACTTCTCATGCAATGCAATGAATGTGTAGCTATTCTTGAAAGCATGTCTAGCACCTTTCTCAACAATCAGACTTAGATTGTTCTCTCAATGAATCAAATTCTTAACACTCAAATCTGTAGAACAACCAACGCAGCTAACCGTTTTTCTGAGATCTGCAAGTTTCGCCAGACGGATAATATGGCAGTAGTTGAAATCTTTCTATTGTGAACTCAAAAAAAAAGAAAGAGAGCTTTGAAAGCACTCTTCTATTGATAGGGTTTCTCAAGCATAATTAATGTAGTCTTTACTCAATCACTCGAAAGAGCAAGATGCTACAATGATAAGCACTAAAAACCGGTAAAACTTAGGTGAAAAATATTTTTCTCGTTTCTCATTATCTATGAATTCCTCATTTTTAATTTTTACTTTCTTTACGTCGCTGCTCAAACTGTCTTGCGAGTCACGGCGCCCTATTATTGGTAAAAGTAAATCTCTCTTGGCAAAACTGCAAAAACCTCAAAAGCATAAATGCCTATGGCATATTGGTTGAAAACTATGACTGTTTTACCTTATTTTAGACCCGTACGAAGATATTTTAGAAAAAAATTGAATTACAGAGTTTTGATCTGAAATTTTGCCTGAATGTGGATTCCATCGTTATTAGAATTATCGTAAATGTTCAGTGAAAAAGAATGTATCCTTCACGAGACAGTTTGGGTAGTTTCCTTAAAAGTTTGATTATGGAGAATGAAGCTTTTCATGCTTTGAAGAATAATCGCATACCTGCTACATTGGATGAGAAGTTATATAAGAGAACACTCTTTTCAATTCATTTTTTTATTTTGCGTTTGCTACGAACAGTTCGAAGATGAATTGTCCTACAAAATAATTTACTCTAGTATCAATGATGGGATAATAAGGCTCCATTTTTCATTAAGAGTTATTATTACCTATAGTTCACAAAACTTATGTATAGTCAAAGTTCTATCAACATCGGATTAGAAAAAATAACGACCCTCTTCGTACTATATCTACATTCCGTTATTTAGACTAGTTACTACATATCTGTTGGCTCATAATGACTTCAAACTTTGAATGAAACTTTGCATCGAAGAAAGTAAAGTTTCTGTACATAGCAAGAATGCATGAAATTACTACACAATATCCAAACGCATGATGCATAAGACTTTTTCTCATGTGGCTTACCTGTCCTTTCTCAAGACCCCACGTCCCTCCACCTCTTAGATCAGTGACCGGATTGGCGCTCAGGAAAGTATGAGGTCTGAATTCCACATGAGCACCCAAAGCATCTCCCAATACCAAACCAAATATGGAGCCTGAAATACGATCCAAAATTCGTTGATCGATATTTCCCGGAGCACCCTTCAGTAATTCTCGGCATTCATCTGGTTTAATGATTGTTGTACCATGCGGATCTCTGAATCGGCATTTGAGCCAAGTTTTGTCTAAATAGAGAAAACGACAATATTCCTCTCGAGCAGTGTATCAGCACAACCAAATCAAATGAAATAATTCAGATGCTAAGAGGTAGTTTCATACATAACGAGTGACATATAACGTCTCTTGATGCAGTCTTTATTTTAGTTGATTAATTCTGAAAAAAACTGATGCGATTTCGTTTCGAAATAAGACCTGCTGGCTACAAAAGGACTTTCTTCAATATACAAAACGAAATTCTTGTGAAATTTTATCTAGCAATAGCAGTAAATATAATTTGCAGAATGGTATATTGATTCATAAGCTAGTATCACAGGGCACGAGAGAGAAAGTAATGTATGCTCAGAAATTCTTTTCCTGTTACCATAATAAAATGTTATTTTTATGAAATTTTTCAGTAAAAAGTACTTTTTTTTATCGAATGCCATGTTCTTTGGAGTTCACAGAGAGGAAATGAAGATATTTTTTTAGGTATATTTCAAAAGCATCTGCACAATCTTTATCGCTTAAGATGTAGTCGAGTATATTGTCTTTTTTCATGCGCGAAATTTCGAATATAAATCAAATAGCATTGACAGTAGCCTTGAGTTTCAGGATGTAGATTAGAGAGTGTGAGTAAAGAGTGGACTCGCATTCACACCACACGTTATGAGCGTTGGTAACACTGATTTCATCTATGATAGAGGTATTGGTTGTTTTTTCGGTTGATCGAAACTGACTGACGACTGAACCACTTCCTTCGTTCCTAACTACGTCATTGAGAAACACTTTTCTCCAGCCATCGTTTTGGTCTTGAAAGTGACACTTGAACTGTTGAAACATTGACCGAAAATAAAGAGAAAAGTAAGAATTAGAAATTCACTATGGTCAAAGTCGATACTACTGTAAACACTATTCGATTTAGAGTCAAGTATGCTTGATACCATACACATGCATCAAACTCGTTTTCATAAGCCAGAGATCAAACTAAATCGACATTGCAGGATTCAAGTTGGACTTTTTAATCGACCTCACATACGTACAGTGGGTCAAAAAATGATTTTCTCATCCTTCCATCATCACTTTGTTTTTTCTGATATGTTCGAACCAAATGAACAAGAATGCTCAAACATAGGCCATATTGTAGCTTGTTGTTAGCAGTGCGTATGCTAATATTTTTAATTTCTACTTTCTTGTCTTTCGTATTTCACTTGAGCAGTAATTTAGACATGTCAAGATTTTTTGCGCCCAGTTTCTCCAAAGAACTCTTTTTCTAACTAATGAGCGTCGCGCGAGAAGGCTTTTGCTTTCGTCCACTTCTCGAGATTTTAAGGAATAGATATCAATTGATACGACCCGGAGGAATCATTTCAGAAAGACTTTTTCTAATGAAAATGAGAATCATGACTAGAACCTTCGATATATTGAACAGACGAAAAGATTTTCGAAAGTTAAATCGGTTTTCCAGTAAAAATCGAAATAAGAATTGAAAAAAGTGATCATTCTGAGTATAAATATAAGCTTTGAATAGCATATGAACATGCTTCGGTCCATAGATATTGAAAAACTATGAAGCGATCTACTCTTCTCGCCGCAGTCGTATTCGAAAAAACTCGACTGTAATACCAAGTTCTGAAGCAATATGGATACGAATTCCATAGTTGAATAGAGCACATTTAGTTACACTAGATGTCATCAAATGAACCTAAATCAAAAAGTTTTTGAATAAGTTTATAGAGGTTAGTAGAGTTATCATTCGAAGCAGTCGTGTGCACGAAAATAATATCAAATAAAAGATACCCGCTAAAACTCACTGACAATGTTATTTTATATCGCATGTATCCTCCACATCCAGTGTAGCTAATTGACTCATTATTGCGTCAATAGTTGTCCTGTGAAAAGCAATTCTTCAGTTTTGGCGGTTACTTTTAATCTGTCGCTTTTTTCATGCATGTGATCGACTATAATGATAACTGTTTTAGCCTCTATAAACCTGTTCAAATCTTTTCTGATTTAGGTTCACTTGATG